TCTGGGGCTGGTCTGCGGCGAACAGGCCTTCAGTCCTGCGCTTCACTGCATCTCTGGAGAACAGGGTGTGTGTTCCTGCACGTCTGAGAGGATCCTCTCTGTCACTGCACACACACACACACACACACACACACACACACACACCATCAGCACAAACACAGCGCCTGAAACTTTAAGCCCTAACCCAGGGGTGCCAAACTCAGCTCCTGGAGGGCCGCAGCCCTGTATAGTTTAGTTCCAGCCCTGCTCCGACACACTCTGCTGCCGGACTCACACACACCTGAAGCACTGCAGTGGTGTGATCAGCTGGGTTTGATTACTGTGCAGAGCTGCGGCCCTCCAGGAGCTGAGGTACGGAGCTAACACATGCTGTTCTCCGGATCAGTGGATGTGATGAGAGTCAGTGTAGTTACTTCATCCAACATTCAAATGTCAAACACACTTCCCGAACCCCTGTTCCCCACCTATGGCGCGGTTCCGTCAGTGTTTCTGCAGGTGTGACTCTTACGTGTGCTGCGGTACGGGGAGGGCCCCAGGGCCCCGCTGGCGGCTCCTCATCTTCAGATCAGGGCCGGACGGCAGCAGGGGAACGGCCACGCAGAACAGGGCTAGTGCTGGAGGCAGTGCCGCCCCAGACACCGCCCTCCTCCTCTGCCCGTGCAGGAACTTCAGCTGACCCTGGAACTGCATAGTCTGAAACACAGAGAAGGTCAGAGGTCACAGAAGACCATCAGCTGTGCCTTTCTGTGAAGAGTTTAGTTATGGAGATGGAGGACGCTCTTACTGGCCCTACATCTGTGTGTGTGTGTGTGTGTCGGCTGCAGGAGCCTCACCAGGAACCCAGAGGTGCTGTCCAGTAAACAGCGCACCCGCAGGATGAAGCAGCGGCTCAGGAAGCAGGAGAGCTCTGGTGGAACACCGGCCGGCTGATCAGACTGGAACAGGCTGCTGACTGCGAACTCCTCCGCTGCGCACAACAGAGAGGGAGGGTAATAAGGGCGGAGCGATGGTGAGGATAGGATGAGGCATTGATAAGGGTGGAGTGGTGATGATGGGGCAGTGACGGGGGCAGTGATGGGGGTGGGGGGGGTCTGTGATCAGGGCAGGGGGTGATGGGGCAGTGACGGGGGCAGTGATGGGGGTGGGGGGGGTCTGTGATCAGGGCAGGGGGTGATGGGGTGGTGATGAGGGTGCGGCGGGGGGTGGTGATGAGGGTGGGTGTAGTGATGAGAGGCAGTGATGAGGGTGGGGGGGTGATAAGAGCAGGGGCAGGGGGAGATGGGGCGATGATGAGAGGCAGTGATGAGGATGGGGCCGGGGGGGGCGGTGAAGAGGGTGGGGCCAGGGGGGGGGGGGGGGT